AAGTTGAAATCGATACACCATGTTTGATGACAAAAAATTAAGCGTTTAAAAATTTCCGAGTTGGTGTGTTTTCGTTCTCACCGACTTTCAGATGCTGATTTCTCATAGTTTGCTCTGAAAAATGTATATTTTTCGACCTGAATAACTCTCGAATATTTATATAACTTGTTGGTACAAGGTATCCTGAACCGAAATAAGAAAACCGCAAAATCACCCGTTTCCCTTGAAATGGCCAAAAATTGATATTTCCAATGAAATACTTTGATTTTCCCCTTTTCCCGTCGCTGTTTCGAGCACTTCCGATTGCAATTTCGAAATTTCCTTTTGCGTGCAGATGCTCCTATCCATAAGTGTTACTAAACCGTAAAAAAGTGAAAATCGAAAAAAAACCCGAGTTAGTGTTTTCGAACTGGCCGATTCAAATGTAGCGAGACAAACATTAAAATTTGCAGTTTTACTCGAAAATGTCATGTCCGACCTCTCTGATCGACTCGATCCACTGTGCGCCGCAGCCGGTTTCCGATCGGATCTTCCGATCCGATGACTCCGCCGGCACTCCACCGGCCGGCCCAGGGTTCGGCGTGCTTTGCGATGTATCGATCGATCTGCCATTAAACCTATTGAAAAGGATCGATAAACAGGGTGTTCGCAACGAACGCCTGATAATCGATCCTGTAACATAGCTTCAAATGGGGGAATATCGATAATCGATCAGTCACTTCTGGCCACTGCTGCACCGGCCGGCCACGAGTCGGTCGGTCGGGTGGTCGTCCACGTCGCCGCAGGTCGGCACGACTCCGTCCACGCCGATCCAAAGCACGGTCCGTTCTCCGCTTCGATTGTCGCATCGAATCCTTATCGAACGAGCTTGATCGATAAAAATCATTCCTAAGATAGGGATGTATCCATTAGGATCATTCGATAACGGTTCGATAGTGAGGGATCCTGTTGGTGGGAGCGGGTGGTTACAATGGACAAAAGAGGTAGGTAATAGACTAACTAATGGCAACCCACACTGGAAAAAAAAAAAAAAACACTTTGGATCTAGAGTCTAGACTCTTGAAAACATTGACAAGAAAAAATACTCTTGATTTAATCGGATTTTCGCTTGAATCAAAACGAAATCCTCTCAAATTAAGAGGCTTGGTTCTTGATTTAAGCTGGTTCTGATTGAATCAAGAGTACTTTTTCTTGTCCATGTTTTTAAGAGTCTGGACTCTAAATCCAATGTGTTTTTTTTTCTTTTTCCCAGTGCACGAGAGACCCTTTATTTAGTCCATAATTTTCTCCCTTAGTCTATGAGAACCACCTATTTCAACCAATAGGATCGCTCCGTACTCCTTATGTCTTCTTTATCTATTGCTTTGTCTATCAATTTTAACAATCAGTTCGTAGACTGGCTGGACGCTAGACTGCTTTAAACGGACATGGTCCATGTTGGGCTTGACCATGCAGAGTCTCTACTAAAACTGGATGTCCAAAAATCGGTTCTTTTACAGTACTTCTTCAGTGCTTTCCCAAGACATTCAGGATTTCCTCGTGAGGAATATTCAATGCAGTTTCAGTAACGGAAGTCGAAATTTAATAAAAAAAATTACACGATGTACGAGTTTCTTCGCCAGGTAGCTCTTCTCACGCCGCGTCCGTTGGGGGCGGCGCGGCGTGCTGCCAGCATGAAACGCGCACTGACCCCTACAAACCTAAGGGGATACTTCAAGCATTGCGGAATGCTTGAAGTATCCCCTTAGGTTTGTAGGCGTCAGTGCGCGTTACGAACTGGCAGCGGCAGCACGCCGCGCCGCGCCGCAGCGTGCCATAAACTTGCCCACAATTAATATATCAGGGTGTTAAAATCTTGGAAATTTGACATCAAATTCGAAATTAGCGGCTCAAAAAAATATCGGTTTTGAAATTTTCTTGATCTTTGAGTCATTATCCGACTCATTTCTACCTATTCCTGAATTTTGGACCATATTGCACCGCGAGTTGGCGGCTGCTCATGAAATTCTTCCCTGTACTCAACCGGTTTGAGTAACTCTATCTGACGAAATTTGAATTTCGAGCTCGAATGGCGACAAAAATGACAAGGCCGCGAGATTTGAAGCTCATTGGTGGCCTGAAGATTGACTGACCGCACAGTCGCGGAATCAACGTGTAAGGAATTCTAGGAAGGAACAATTCAGCGCTGCGAATGTTCGTGCGGATTCCTTTAAAAATGTTGAGGAATTTGCTTCGTACTACGGAGAAAATATACTGAAATTTGTACGAAAATCCGCACAACCGTTTGCATATAAAAAATTAAAATGCTCAATCTTTGGGTATAGCTGATGTTTCTTGCCGCTTAAAGCGGTACAATTTATCGTCATTTAATTTAAAAACCGGAGTAGCTAAGATCGAAATGAATCGATCCAAAGTCAAAAAAGTGATCCGATCGACGCGATACGATTCGATCGACAAACCCTTGAATCGATTGGCAATCCCGTAAAGTCGATAGACAAACACGTAAATCGATCGTGATTTGAACGAATTCGGTCTAATTAGAGATTACACAGGGAATTTGATAGTTGATCAGGGTGTCTACAAGTCCAAAATTTCCGGTAAGTCCGGAAATAGTACTGTTTTTTAAGGGCGGCCCGGAAGTACTGAAAAAGAGCGGAAATTCCACAAGAAGGTCTGGAATTTTTGCCATTTTTGTTGCAATTAGAGCGAGAAATTCAAATTTGTGAAATTTTTCGAGTGTCGTGAAATGGAGGTACTGAAAAAGTACCGAATGTTTCTGTTAAGGAGGTACTGACACTTTTGGGAATGTACTGAAAAAGTACTGCATAAGTACTGATTTCAGGCCGGCCTGTTTTAGTAGACACCCTGTTGATAAAAGTAAAAACCCTGATTTAAAATTACTGGCTGAAAAAATTCTCGTCTTCGTTTGAACATCGGTTTATTCAGCAGTTTTTTAGGGTTGTAACAGGTACCGCTTGATCAAGAGATCCCGGAGCGGCGCATCAGAGGAAATCCTAAAAGCTTCAATCGAGACAGAAACGGCTATAAAGCGTTGAGACAATTCGTTGCTCCTCCAACGTAAGGGCGTATCCTCATCTTTTCGTGAACCTTCTTCTACATACAAACCAATGCTCCCTAGGGCTCATCCGGAAATCGAGTTACGCCCTTACGTCAGCGGGGCCACGAATTAATGGCCTCAAATGAGAAAAGAAGAAGGAAAAGTCAGAGAGATTCCCGCGGTTTTATTACCGATGATGGCGTCCAATCGATTTGTTGGATCGTCGCAGGCTCATCGAAAATTCCGAGCCGTAGCGCGTGCCATCGAGCCACTCATCCGTCTTAATTAGCTTATCTGTCCGATTAACAGCCGAGCATCGCATACCTGAGCCAGTCTGCCGTGCTAGGGCAAAACGCCGTATGAACCTTCAGGCGCTGCCAAATTTCGATTGATAGAACACGAAGTTCCTTGTAAACTTATGAATATTTTTCTTCCAATGTCTTAGTTAATGTTGTTCTCAATTTCGCGTAAAGATCCTGAAAATTTCAAGGAAAAATATCCACAGCTTTCTTTATAAGTAAACATTTTATCGGAGGAAATTTGGCAGCTCTCGGATGTTCATACGTCGTTTTTCCTTAGCATGGCAGCAGAGAGGTGGCGTGCATTGCGATGTATCGATTGATCTGCCATTTAAACCTATTTAAAAGGATCGATAACAGAGTGTTTGCAACGAGCCCCTTAATAATCGATTCTTTAACATAGCTTCGAATGGGGAAATATCGATAATCGATCATTCACGCCGTCACATACCCACGGTGCCATTGTAAGGAAGAACGTCGTATAAACATTCGAACATCGCCAAAGTTCCTCCCAATTAAATGTCTTTTTAAAGGAAATTCATGCATATTTCTCTTCCAAATTTTCGGGGGATTTTCGGAGATTGGATTAAGAATAAAATCCTCTGAATATTTTAAGAATGAATGTTGGCAATTGACTCTGGAAATCGGCGCTTTATCAAAGTAAATTTGGCAGCGTTTGAAGGCTCGTACGACGTTCTTCAACAAGACGGGAGTACGTCTAGACGTAAAAGCTCAGGATTTGTTACTCCTCGTTTTTTATAGTCTCCCGCCCTGCGGTTCCTCGTCTGTTTCTAGCGGTTTTATGGTCTGTGCGTCGAATTGAGGCCCTCAGCCCCGAAAACACACCGATGCCGGAACTTGAAAACATGGATTGCGATCGCGGTATTTCAAATTTCTGTTACTACTTTGGTTGTTTTCTTAACTATTGATGGCGGTGGCCTGGAAAAAAGGACCTTTTTCAATTTTTTTCTAATTTTTATTTATTTTTTTAAATTTTCTATTAATTATTATTAATTTTCTTTTAGTTTTTCATTTTTCTTTTAATTATTTATTATTTTTTTATTTTCTTTTAGTTTTTATTTATTTTTTATTTTCTTTTTTTTCAAAACAACATCAAGAAAAGTTTCGCCATGGGAACATTTCAGACTGTTGATAGTGCGTGGGGTAAAATTCGAAAGCGGCAAAAATCCTGCCTTTTCTTTATGGGAAATTGTCACCTGTAGGGATCCTTTCGCGCAATAAAAGCGCAGCGGAGCAGTACATAACTTCCACCGGTGGACGTTTTGCGTCACTTCTCATTCACGTGTTCGCCTTCAATGTATATAGATAGGCAATTTCTCGACTTAGGAGCACGTGCATTTGTATCCTGTCTCCCCGTACTTTCTTCCATCAAGTCTATAACCACAAGAAATGATTACACGGGAAAGAATAGGGCCGCCGCAAAGTGCGACAGTCAGTTTCCTCCCTATACCTGGAGACAGAAAAAATTTAGTTATAACCCTTCTGCCCTGAGTTACTGACGTAAATAAAAAGTAAACGTCCTCTATTATACATTCATGTTTTTTTTTTGCTTCTCGTGTGACTTTTAAATGTGCTTGACCCTTTTCTATACTAACAGCACGTTGGATTTCTTTTTGTTTCAGTTATGCACAGAGCTGAAATCTAATGAAGTTGCAAGCACATTCAAACAAGTTGTCTCAAAGAAAGAAAATTTGGAAACTTTGGGTGGGATGTCAGACGCTTCCAGTGAAGGTGAGCATAATTTAGCTGTTGCAGTTTATCGCAAGTTGTTTCATCCTTTAAATCCTTGCAAGTTTTTTTTTTTTTTTTTTTTGTTTCACCTCAGTTGAATCAGTAAGAACGAAAACACACCAACTCGAAATAATGAAAATAATCAAGACACACGCAAAACTGCATAGTGGTTGAAGAAGTCAGTGCAAGAAAAATATTTTTGGTGCCGAAAGACAAGTACTTATGGACACTTAAAAGGTCCAAATTGGAACAGATGCGTTAACTTCACTTGCCTTTATGGAAATTGAGTCTCTTAAATGAAAATTGAGCATTTTTGAGTCACCAAGTTGGCGTGTTTTCGTTCTCACTGATTCAAGTATTATAGAAAGCAGGAAAAGACAAAATTTTAAATTGTAAAGATCGACTCAGATCAACTAGAATATTTTTTGAAAATGGAGCAAAGTACAAAAGTTACCAACTCGACAGCAATGCATGTCAAAAATGTGAGTAACCATCAATTGAGAACACTTATATTAGAATATACGGATCTAAATATTTGTACGGAAATACTAAATTTTGAGCCACAGCGGTGGTCAAAAAATAACTGAATATCCACCACTTGGCAAGTATAAGTGAATGCCGCATCCTTTAAACAATATTTTTTCTTTCTGTCTTAGGTACAACCCACTCGGTAAGGTTAGAAGAACAGTTAGCTTTCTCCGATTGGATAAACAGCAATCTTGGATATGACCCAGACTTGAAACATCTTCTACCAATAGATTCGGAAGGAAAAAGTTTGTACGACAAAGTAAAAGACGGAATACTCTTGTGGTAAGTATAATTAAACATTTTATTCACAGATCACTTTTTGTAAGTTATTCCAAAGAAGGAAAATCTGTTGGTATACTTTCCTCCTATATTCCTACCACATGTAAAGAATCTCTAATTATTTTCATTTAGTGATCTGTAACCAGTCAATGAATGATATTGAAAAAGAAGATATGTTTCAAAAATTCTTCTTGTCATTCATTCTCCTGTTTTACTGAAAAACAAAGTCAATAACAAATAACCCAGCACTGACACAGAGAAAGAAGAGGTATTACAAGTTTCTGACAACACTCACATTGGAATCCAGGTCCTACCTATTTTTTTAGTCGTAGTTACGATGTTACTTTTGTGTTAACAATTATTTAGGTCCTGTTACCAGTGGAGCATTGTTTACTTGGGGGAAGTAATCGCTACCACAAAAGTAATATTGTTACCAATACTATTAAAATAGATTGGATTTAGAATCCACCATTTGAATCGCTAAAGTAAGGATTCTAACTTCTCTGTGGAATTGAATGTGTGTGTTCAAGATGGCTTTAATTCATTTAAGCCTTCAACATAATACTCAGGATGTAATGTTTGTAACAATACGACAAAATTTTTTTGTCAGAAATAATAGAATCACTCTCTCCTCTTCATTTTACAGTCTACGCCATATAAGTTTCTGCTCTTTTAAATTTTGATTGAAGATCGTCTGACATCAGCCATGCATGAAAAATAAATGCATGAATCAAGATGGTAGATCTTCAGTAGCAGTCTAAAAGAGCATAAATTTACTTGGCGTAGACTCTACAAATTATTACTGCAAAATTTCAATGGCACTGTATTGAGTTTTTACTGGGAATTTACATGCTTTTACATGCTGTCAGTCTGTTTGTGTATAAATAAATAAACCAAATATTTAATTGGTGCTTCATGCTTAAAAATTATTTTTATAAAATCTAAGGAAAGCCTATGTTAGCCCAATTTTCTATAACTAATCTTGTATTTATATTCTTTACAGTAAAGTTATCAATCATTCCTGTCCAGAGACTATCGATGAACGTGCAATAAATAAGAAAAACTTGACCCTGTATACAAAATTAGAAAATTTAACCCTAGCACTGGTTTCAAGTCAGTCAATCGGTTGTAATATTGTCAATATTGATGCACACGATCTTGCTAAGGGCAAGCCACATCTTGTTCTTGGATTGTTGTGGCAAATCATTAGGGTAAGACCTTTCTGTTATTTGCTCTAGCTTCAAGTTCATTATTCAAATTCCATAGTTCAATTGAGATTTAAAAATGTACTGTAGTTTTTTTTTTTTTTTTTTTTTTTTTTTTTTAACAAAAAGTCCCAACATTAAAAAAATAACCCTCTTATTGTCTGTAGTGTTATTATCAGATGTTATGCGTCAAATATTTTCCATGAATTTTTCATCCAGTTGAACACGCAATACGTAAAACTTTTTTGATGACACAGGTGATATCCTGCTGATAGAAGAAAATATGTTGAGGTCAAGTAGTGATTTTGAGAGTTGTTAAAATTGGTCTGTTGCATACAAGAGACACAACTAAGTAGATTTTTTGCAGGTAGAATTGGACAAAAATGGCATTGATTATCAAAAATGTCTAAGCCCTGTGTCTTACTCCACAATTTGCATAGTATAAATAGTGCATTTTCAAACCTACTCTGTCGGTGGGCATTTTTTCCCTAGTTGACAGCAATTAGGTTTGCCTACTATGAGATGTGAAAAAACCTATGATAAATGAACAAACCGTAAGAAAAGGCTTGCAATTGTTTTTCACATATGATCTTAACTCCTAACAACTCAACAACTCATCAACTCATCATCAGTAAGGAGTAGTTATTAATTAGAGAGACGATTTGTCAGATCTTTTTTGATAAATCACTTCGTGCACTTCCTCCATTCATGTAATGTAGTGCCATCGCCGCATTTCCAGGTTGTAAGATTTATTGATGAATGAGTTTTTATCAAAAAAAAAAAAAAAAAAAAAAGAACGTAAACTCGTACGATTCTAATCATTTCAAGTGTTTGTTTTCTCTTTATTTCTTGGCGTTGCAAGAAAAAATGTTTAAAAATGGTTGAAATCATATATTAGAAATCGTTTAAAAGTTTACGAGATTGTTTCTTTCTTTAAGTAAGGTTTTTTTTTCTTTTTTCCGCCCAATTAATTCAAAATTCTCATGCTCTGATTACAGATAGGGCTTTTTAATCAAATTACCTTAGAAAATTGCCCAGGTCTACCTACTTTGTTGAGGCATGATGAGCGCATTGAAGATCTAATGAAGCTATCACCAGAAGCAATTCTCCTTCGGTGGGTTAACCATCATTTAGAACGTGCTGGAATTCCAAGGAGGTGTCACAACTTCCAGAACGATATCTCCGACTCTGAGATCTACTCCCACTTGCTGAAACAAATCGCACCAGACGACTCGGAAGTGACTTTGGAAGCTCTGATGGAACCAGATATGACACAAAGAGCCGAAATTATGCTTCAACAAGCTGCTAAGCTAGGATGCAGGAGTTTTGTCACTCCAAATGATGTTGTCGGTGGAATCTACAAGCTAAATCTTGCCTTTGTTGCCAACCTTTTCAACAACCACCCTGGTTTGGACCGACCAGAAGGAATTATCGAGGATTTCGGAAAGTTAGAGGAGACTCGGGAGGAAAAAACGTATAGAAATTGGATGAACTCAATGGGTGTAACTCCATATGTTAATTGGCTGTATTCAGATCTAGCCGATGGACTTATCATATTCCAGTTGTATGATATTATCAAACCAGGCATCGTAAATTGGACCAAAGTTCACAGGTAAGATTTCAGTCTGTCAAATAATCACCCCTTAAAGTTAAGTGTATCTCTCTTAAAGAAGTGGCATTTATACTAGAACAATCTAAATGGTATAATTTTTAAAATATAGATATTTGTACATTTGCATAGAAATTTTTTTTACAAACATTCTAGCGTAATGAAATGCTGAAAATGTAGGATCAAAGAGTTACTCTTAACAGTTTGAAATTTGCAATCTCAGAATGTTGTTTCTTGGATTATTATGCACATGTATACCTTTTCATGTTACAGAAGTAAAACAAATCTCCTGCAACTGGTTGTCTCCAATATCTAACTAATTGAAGGGTTTCCTCCATCAAATTGAAATTTATTGCAACAAAATTTAAATAAGTTATAATCATTTTGCATTGCTAATCGCCTACCTTTTCACATATTGAACTCATTTCGTTAATCGTTTAAAATTGGTGTTTTTTGACAAAATTAGGCCTTGTCTCCACGAGCCGTTTCACGAGATTTGTCCCAGGGAAAAATCCCAGTTACCAAGTTGGGAAAAATATTGAGTTAATCAATATTTTTTCCAGTACCAAGTATGGTACTTGTACCCCTAGGACCCACTGAGAGAAGAAGAAGAAGTGAAAACGAATTGTGCGATATTTTATTCATTACTACATTGTTAATGTTTGTTTATTTAAAGTAATGTGTCTAATTGTCAATTGAGTGCCATTATTATTTTAATCCCAGTTGAATACTCGACTTTAACTAATTTATCTTCCTGCGCAAACTAGTCGCAGGACTGTACGAGTCCTGTCCCGTGGAGACGGTAACTGGGAAAAATCCCAGAAGTTTCATCCCAGCGATTTTAACTTGGGACAAATCCCATGAAAACGTCCTGTGGAGACAAGGCCTGATGAAGAGATATTGCAATTTTATGGTTATAAAATGCCAATTTTATGGTTATAAAATGCCAATTTTATAGCATTAAAGTGTGAAATAATTTAAATATTATATTGCACATTTGGGTAATTTCTTAGATCCTGAGCGAAACTTTGATCTCTGCTCTTCCTAACTGTGGCTAATAAAAACATCATTCACCCACTTTTTTATTTTGTACAGATTTTTTTATTCAGGAGCTCTTTCTAAATTCATATTTTAATCTGATTCGCAGAAAGTTTTCCAAGCTGAGGAAGTTCATGGAAATTTTAGAAAACTGTAATTATGCTGTCGAACTCGGAAAGCAGTTAGGATTTTCTCTAGTCGGAATTGCCGGTAATGATCTTAGTGATGGAAATGCAACACTGACACTTGGTAAGTAAATAAATTGATTTTATATCCATTTCGCTTTTACCATTGACTACTAAAATGATGTTCACTCCAAATTATCATGTTAAATTTAGAATTTGCCTTTGTTCAACTCCTGTTTTTTCATGTCTCGTCACAAAACGCAAAATTATTTTTGACTCCCAATCATATTTCAAACCAAAGAGCACGTGCAATAATATCATAAGAAATAATGCTATCAGCTTACAAATCAGCCTTTTCACTTGTAATAACCAGGAGGAATGTTGAGACATCTTATCGGTGATTAAGAAGATCTTCAGTGTCCTTGAAAGCTAGGGAAATGAAGTAGGGGGTTATTAAAATTGATAGACAAAGCTATGGACGTAGAAGACAGAAGGGATATGGAGGGATCTTATTGGTGGAAGCAGGTGGTTGCAAAGGACAAAGGAGGAAAATAATAGACTAACTATTGGCACACTTCGAGAGACCCCATAGTGTCATCACTTCCTCAGTTTATTAGAACCACCCATTTCAACCAATAGGATCGCTCTATACTCTCTACGTCTTTTTTTCCACCTTTTTGTCTATCAATTTCAATAATCAGCCTGCAGGAGAAAATAGTCAATACCTACAAACAACAAGAACGACCAGCGCAGCATCCACATATCGTCACCTTCCAGGCAAAGTATCACAAGCGCCATGCGACATTTAAAAATTTCCGCCGCCATTTTATTTTTTTACTGAGAAATTGTTGGTTGAATCTGTTCGAAAATTTCACTAAATTTTATCGGCAGCACAAAGAAAATTCGGTGTAATTTTTGGACAGCTTTGTTGAACAATTTCTCTGTAAAAAAATATAATGGCGGCGGAAATTTTTAAACGTCGCACGGCGCTTGTGATACTTTGCCTGGAAGGTGACGATATATACATATCAGTAGTCCATTAGCTAATGGACAAGCTAAGTAAATGGTATGTAAGAGATTCAGTCCCATTTTCCTGGAGATTGACACATTGAAAAGTTACCTACTTTTAGAAGCTCATCGTGCTAAGGAGGCCGTAAGGAACATCATACAAAACAATATCAAAATTTGGTTGGAGCTGAATTTCTTGGTACTCTGTGCGTAGTCCTACTTCTACATCTCCCTTTTTCTTGCAAACCTCTGCATTTTGACAACAGAAAGCAGATTAGGTAATGAACTTGTTTCTTTATATTCTGTGTGATTTCATTTCCAGCGCTAATTTGGCAACTGATGCGTGCTTACACCTTGTCAGTATTAACTCAGCTAGCTAATACAGGTAGTCCAATCGTAGAAGCAGAAATCACATCTTGGGTCAATAACAAACTTGAGTCAGCCCACAAAGATACAAGACTTAGGAGTTTCCAGGTACTTTTGAAGTTTCATTCTTTATTTTGTTTTTAAAAAAAGTTTTACAATGTTTCTTCATACTTGAAGTTTTTGCAGAAGAAAATATCAAAATCAATGCTCCATAATCCTATGAATTTTCATAAAGCCATCATAATTGCATTGCGCAAAGTTTAAGAAGAAGGAATTTTGAAGAATTTTTGAATGAAAAGAGCATCCGCTGTTGAAAATTTTTGAAGAACAATTTTGTGGTTTTCACTTTTGATCTCATGTTTTGTTAATCACTAATTTTAAACATTTTTTATTTTTATCATAAAATCAAATTTTGTATAAAAATATCGTAACTACTGCAGGAACTACATGCCTTGTACCGTCTACATAAATTAAAACAAAGGTGTTAAAAGACGAAGCAACATTAGGTAATAAATATTTTGAAATTTTCTGCCCTTTGTCATCAGAAAATTAAGTGTACTACTTTACAAGTAGAATTATGTTGTTTCTTTAAAATTGAAAAGTAAAAATGAACAGTTAAAACGTGGGAAATTGGATTTTGTCCTTGTAATATTGATCTGGAGCTCCCATCTATATCACAGTAAACATCTTACAAAGTTAAGCAAGAGGCATCCATTCGTTTCTAAAGTTATACGAAAAAATTGCTCTCAACATCAGAATATCTTCCTCTCAACTTCTAAATTAAAAAAAAAATGTTTCATTTTATTTTAGTTAAAATCTCAATTATAAATTTCATGTATTTTCATTTCGTCAATTTTATTCTACAGGATTCTGCTCTCTCCGATGGCAAAATTGTAATAGACGTTATTGATTCAATCAAGCCAGGAATCATCAACTATGATTTAGTCAAAGAAGGCTCAACTGAAGAAGTAAGTACTATCCTCTTTGTTTTCCTGAACTAAATCTATGATTTAACTTTACAGGCGCTCAGAATTGGCAATAACAAAATATTTTATCGAGAATCAATATTTTGTCATATTTTAAAAGATGTCTGGAAGCATGCTTGAAATGAAAGTTCAGATGAAGTGATACATTTAGGTGTCCACAGGTCTGGAATGTCTATGAAACCTGGAAAAAGTTTGAGCTTTCTAAGTTGGTTTAGACTCCATGAGGAAGAATGAAAAGTTTACGTTTGGTCCAAAATTTTTGGGTCATTCAAGGTTTTCTCTTTTTTCCTTTAACAATACCTCATATCAAGCTGACTGCAGTAAATATATAAATTAAGTCAAAACAGCACTGCCGTGCTAAGCAAAAACGCTGTATGAACCTTCAGACGTAGTGAAATTACCTTTGATAAAATTCGGATTCACCAGAAAAGTTGTGAATATTTTCTGCAAATTATCTAGACAGTTTTTTTGCATTTTAATCTGAAATATCTGAAAATTTCAAGTTAAAATATGCAAAGGTTTCCTCCCAAATAAACATTTTATCAGAGGAAATTCAGCAACTCTCAAATGTTCTTGCAGCGTTTTCCATCAGCATAATTCTGGTAGTAATCCATTTATTTCTTGAAAGTACACCTGTGTTAAAAGGGGACTTGATATTCCTCAGTTTTCAGTAAAAGGGACACAAAAATACTGAAATTGGTTTGAATAATGTACGGAAATACCAATGGTATTCCCATCTCTTGGCAGTTTCAGAGATATTTCCAAATGTTTTCCTATTAAATTGGGTGTTAATACTTAGCATACCATGAAAGGATTTCAAATTGAAGGTTTTTTTGTACAAACAAGAATGATTAAAATGTCTTTACATTGCCGTTACGGGCAAATCAATTCTCTATCCCTGGTAGAGCTTTACGGACGAAGCTTGGACAGATTAAGGATCAGTCTCATTGGATTCAATGAGAATCTGATACTCGATGTTCAATGCTCTCAAAAAGAGACAATTCATTCATTCGCCAACCCAAAACATTAGTGCTTGAAAAGAGGGAATTATTTCCTAAACAATCAAAGGAAACTTGCGCTTTTTTTTTTTTTTTTTCAAATAAACCAGGCTTTATTATGTAGTCTACAAAATTCCTGGAAAAATTAATCAAAACTGAAGGATTCAAATTTTAACATCGAATTGTCTCGACAGACCAACTCAGCAACTTCTCATTTTTGCTATTTATTCATTCAGGGTTGCCATAGACACTACCCGGAAACTGTCAATTTTAAACCGGGAATTTTAAAAAGTCAGAGAAAAATTGTTGAGTCACCTTTATTTGTTTTCTGGAATGGGTTTGACGTTTCAAAAAACAAATTTGCCTGAAAACTATTTCAAAGTATGTTGCTTTAACCATCTGGCATATCTTCTCTTGTCAGGGAATTTTACGAAAATGTGAAGGGAAATCAGGATAATGTCAGGGAATTTCATTTTCTAAATTCTGTGGCAACGCTGTTCATCATGCACAACGTTTTGGAAAAAACTTAGGGAAAATATATGCTCATCAGATTTGCAGGACTCCTGAAATATGCTCTAATAAAACACTTCCTTTTCCATTTTGCAGGAGAAATTAGCCAATGCAAAATACGCCATTTCTATGGCTCGCAAGACGGGTGCCCGAGTTTACGCATTACCAGAAGATATTACCGAAGTGAAACCAAAAATGGTCATGACCATGTTTGCCTGTCTGATGGCGATGGACTATGTTCCAAGCATGGATGCCAAGTAATCCTGACACCTACCGAATCTTTCGTCAGGTTTGTCAAACTGTTCTTTTTTTATCGTCGCATAATATTGAATCATCGGATGAAATAATCAAGGAAAGTTTTTTTTATATTTCCAATCTATGTGTCATAATATTTTTACGTGCAATTGAATACAAAACTGTTGGAATCATTCAACGAACTTTGCATTTTTTAAGGTTAGGTGTATGTTGTTTTAATGACTGCTTTGAAGGAACGCCATACGTGTAATGATACGTGAGTGTGATTGAATGTTTTTGATCATTATTTTACCGCATTAATTTGTAGGCTTACATAATTTTTAGAAGGATTTAGAGTCCGTAATTGCATTCTTGTTTTTTAGTGAACTTTTTTACTTTACCTGAAGGAAAATGTATTTTTATCACTAGCTTTGCTATTCAAGCCATTCCTTTTGTAGAGGTGACCTAAGATTCTTAACTTAAAAGTACTTTGCTACTCGTGCCGATGAGACATTAATTATTTTTTTGTGATTGAAGTGAAGAGATCATGAATTAAATTTTTTTTATTCATATATTTTCCTGGCACTCTGCACCAGTGTCCATTCCATTTTACGTAGACAACACATCTTCAATAACTTTCCAAACCGGTTTTGTCTTATCTACCTTTACACTCCAGATCCATCTCGTAAGAATTGCTCTGAATCATTCCTGTGTCTCATAAATTGAATCAGCAAGTTTAGTATGCAATTTAAGAGAAGATGTAATTCAATCTCTCAAGTCGAACATTGATGACCTAAGCATGCAGAAGCATATGTCTCCAATGAAGTACTTCAAAATTTCCACACCCATATCACTTCCTCTTCAGAAAAGAAACAAGCTAACTTTACAGCTTGAAATTCAAGCAGAATATTCCGCTAAGAGAGGAGAAAAATTAATACAGTTTTCAAGAGTATGCTAACCAGTTTTCCGAAGAGAAAATAAAGTATGAGAGGAAGTCTGCATTGTGAAAAACGGACTCATGTGATTTTGCATTCAGGCCATCGATATAGTCTATTTTAGATGAGAATGAAGGATTGAACCGCTAGTAAGATAGAAGAAATTGACTCGATATGGAGACATTTTAAAACTATGAGGATTTTGTTCTCAGCAGCTCAATATATTTCCTCCTTAAATTCCAGTGGATATAAGCCTATTTTGAATCATGTTAAACTTTTATTTTTTTAAATGTTTACTTCATTTTAAAAAATTAAACCGATTGCTCAATTTCCCTCATTTTTAGTAGGCTCTGAAGTAATTATCTTTTTTGTTTGTGAAAGCATCAGTTGTTGATCATCGGTGTTAATCATTCTACTCCCTCCTGGGTCAAATCAAGTAATTGTCTCACCATTCAATCTTATTTTCTGTCAAATCTCAAATTTACATTCCTCAGAAACTGAGAAGTCTTGATATTTCATGAAGTCCTTTTTTTCTTCCCTTTTTAGCATATTAATCAGTAATGAGTCTCGGTTTTTTTATTTTATTTTTTTATTAGTTATATTTATGGATTTAGAGTTGCCAGATTGCCCCAATATTTTTTAAAGTTTTCCATAAGTACATGCATTTGAGGAACTCTGTAACATGTTAAGAGTTGTACAAGTGTACAAATCCTAACCTGGTGCTATTACGTTGTTTTCTTCTCTTTTCCTTACCTTTTCTTGAAATGGATTATCGCTATGATTAAGAATTTTCTTGTTATCTTTGTAATTTTTTTATTTTCATTTTCAAGAGTTCATTTTTTCTGTTTGAAAAAGGAGTACATAATCAAGCAATCCAGCAATGAATATGTAAATGCCATAACGACAATAAAACTGCAGGAACGCATATTTTTTTTGCAGTGTTTCAAAATCTCTTTTCAAAATTATACTTGATCAAGGGCCTCATCATTTCTTGAAATTTTCATGGATTGTTTTTCACATAGAGAGGGAAAATCTGAAAAATTTTCAAGAAATGACCTTGAGTATTTTTTTACTTAAAAAATAAAATGTGATAGAAAGTTTGCAATGTTGCAAACGAAGACTTGCATCTTGCAGTTACACCATCAGTATACTGATCATCTTTGCCTGATGAGGTCACAAAAACTCCACCTTGATCATAATTTTACGTTTTTTACTTAATTCATCATCATTATCATGGTGTTGAAAATTCGGTTTGTTTCATCTGAATCCTGCACAAAATTTTGCTCCCTTTACATCAAGATAATTTTTTCTTCCCCAAAGGTCAAAACATGATCATTTCAGTTGTGAATTTTAGCAAATCGTTGTGCCAATATTGTTGTGAGATACGCAGTGGTTTTTTATTGCTGCTTCTTTTGAAAATTTTGTTAATGATCAATCTTTTTGAAAAAAAGGAAAATGATGCTACCTGAAAAGAGTGTTTTTGCTCTGAGATTTTTTTCAGAACAAACACTATAAAATCGTTATAGTTTTGAATTTTATCACAAAATCGTTATTCGGCCCTGCAACATTCATCCAAAGGATTAAACAATTGACATAATTTGCTCTTGAGAAAACCTCATTGTGTTTTCTCTAAGCCATCATAAGTTAATTGAAGAACATTTTATCAGAGTCCTTTATCAATGTCATCTTAAACCTGTCATTAAATGTCAGAACTTCTACTTTTTAAGTCTATCTTAATTTTGTTTTGTTTGTGCGCGTTGTGTGGAAAAAATTATTGAATCAAAATTATTACTCTTACCTGTATGCTTAACATATGAATATTCTATGCTTTAGGTATTTGACTTTGAGGTTGAACACTTTTTGTTCAACTGAATTTTTAAAGTTTTGTTTTTCGATCTCTTTCTTTTCGCTTTTTGGAAAAAGATAAGTTTGCTTAATCTCAGTGTTTCTTAAAGATTGCTTCGAATCATGGATAAAGAAAAAAAAAAGTTGTAAGCCTTTATCACCAATCATTGTTAATTTTTTCTTCTTTTTATTTTCTGTGTAATATTATTTATAAGAGAATGTCAAGTAGTGGAGATCTTAATCTGAACCATCAATTGTAGCAGAGAATGCTACCAAAACTTGGAAAGATAACAAAGATCATAGTAAGAAAAGTCAATTGCGATCGCAGCTATGACTGACTTGTCCTTAGCCATTAACTTTATTAAAATTTAGCTACCAGCACTTTTCTTCAGTTTGAATTTCTGAGAAAACTGATGCTCTTGAAACTGTCATGTGTCAGAGTGTGGCATACCGCTAGGCCAGTTCAAACGCACTTTGAGTAACTGGACAGAAAACATCAGTGCCATGGTAATTGATTGTTACAATTGGTATGGTGAACTGAATACCACCTACTTTTTTTACTGTTTTGAGAAGTATGAATTGAAAAATCTTGAAAATAATCTAAACTTTTATGTGAGATAATTTTTATTGTATTTTAAGTACTTTTTGTATGCATAATTTATTTTAACAAAAATTACTCGCATTATATTCTCCTATGAGACATTTAGTTTCCATTTTATGCAGTTATGTGTAATTTTAATAAAAGAAAAAATCTTTCCATCAATGCAGTTTCTAAATCATTTCCAGTTCCTGGTAAAAGCCTCCAATCCATTTTTCTCAACTAGTGAAGGTTCACCATCTGTCAATTTTTTTTAAAAAATAAAAAGTAAATAAAATAAAAAATGAATCCTATTATTGTCATTATTATAGTGCAATCAGATTTTACAGTAAAATAAAAAGGGTTACTATTAGGGCAAAACTTATTTTTATCAGAGGTATTTTATTGAATAGATTCAGACTCATGCTTTTGAAAGTATCCCTGTAATTTTTAAGAAACTTATATAAGTTTTATAATCGCTTCAAGAACCTACACACCCAAAAGAATGTCTGCATTGATCAGCTTCTGAATCATATGACATCGTTTTGTGCCAAGCATTCATTTATATTTCTTCTGTAAAATCATCATTACTTATCTAAGGGAAAGGAGGGATAAAGTGAACTTTAAGCACTAATCTTTAAAAAAAAATTCTATATTTATTTACAAAAATTTACATTATTTACAAAAGGAAGTATTTACTCTATAATTATTATCAGGATAATATTGAACACATTTGGTATTTATGAAATTCTTACATTTGCAGACATCCGCGAAATTACACAACACTGAGCAAGGTTAAACAAGCCCGAATAAAAATCTCGGCTCTCATAAAATTAAATCGTCGTCAAGCCAGAAGATAAAGGTGGTGCCGGTCGTTCCTTTTGCTTGAAGCATATCAAAGTCTTCAATTCGAAAAGTATTCTTACTTCATTTTTTTGATGCTGACAAGGAAAAGCAAATTAGAACTGAATACTTTTCTAACGGACTTCACTCTCTTTTCAATCTAGCTTCGATAAGTTTTTATCCTGGCAACTTGGGCGGAACTGTTTAAATCACAAAAATATTGTTAATGCAGAGAAATCATCACGCCACCTCTGTTTCTTGCTCGTAACCACAGAATGGTGATGAATATGTTTTGACCTCTCGTATGAAGTGCTCCTTATCGACTATTTTGTATTTATCCTCTCGGAAATGGGAGAAATCCTCCATTAACCTCTCAAATCCTGCAAAGTAAACATCAAGTAACACAGGTGGGACCGGGTCCAGCTGACCGACTTTTACAATGGAGTCAAAGTAATCGTTTGACAGTCTACCCATGATGTGGAAGTCCTTTTGTTTTTGTCCCCTCTCTGTTCTCATTTTTTCGTCTGCTTTAGTGTCGGCCAGCATATCTTCTTTACTTGGTAGGAGAGATGGATTTTTCATCGTTTTTAAGAAGAATCGCACCTGTAAAAGAGAGGCAGCCGTCACATAGTTAAGATTGAACCACAGGCATCTCATAGACAATACAACATATTGCATAATACCCAACAGAGGTTCTTATAGGTGTAGAGATTGCAGAGAGATTAGTAGAAATTTTCGTTTTCATTGTTTCCTGAGGATTTTAATATTTCCGAAAAATTGATTTAAGGTGGCATCCAAAGATGTAATTTGGTAGGCTTATGAGAATCTTCAATTCATTCTAAGTTTTAGTTAACTTCTAAATGCATACCTTCTGCTTTGAATTCTTTTGGAATCTGCAATTGTTTTCATTAAGTAGAATGTTACATACTTGATCGGTGTGCATAAATTTTGTTAATGAGGTTAAGGATGCAGATTTTTCACTGCTTTTTTTTTTTTTTTGTCATTATTATTATTTTTTTAGTCTGACTTTGGTATATTTGTTTGTGTAAACGGATTCCTCAACCAAGAGGCAGTCCCCTCTCATAATACAAGAAAAAATTGTTGCACTATCAAATTATTATCTGAACAATCAACTTGAATACCGAAGACCTGGTTACTCATTTGAGTTGAAATACTTTTTTTATTCAAATAATAAAATAGTTAGGCCTGTTGAATGTGGCCAAATGCCTTACCTGTAAGTCAAACATGTAAAATCCAGTCGTATCCCGAGGTATCCCTATTATACACATGGAAGGGTGCTCAATATTGATCATGTGTTTGTATAAAGGTTGCACGTACCGGTTTTCAACTTTGATTCCAACATTCTCGCTGAGGAAAGAGTATTTGTATGTGTATCCTGTTGGAAAAACAAAATTACTATGAGTGAAAATATTCTCAAGAAGAGAACCATATCGAGTAGCCATATGCTCGCTTTTTAATGAAAACTCTTGGGTGATCTTACAATTATCTTTCTTTCCAATTGTATACATTTTCATCAGCACTTTCGACGTGGCCTCAATTTTTATTGGCATGCATTATTCAACCTTGGTATGTAACGGAAGATAATCACAAATTATCTTGATGACTTTAGAGAAAGAAGTATTCTACTCAAATGGAAATAGAGGACCCTCTTTTTGCCTAGCTCCTATTTATTTGATCCTCGGTTCTGTGACCTTTTTATTTGAATTTCCATGGTGACAACATAATCCAGTCTGAAATTCGTAATATGTATCATCAGTTTCTTCATACATTTTCTAAAAGGCATAAGGGTCAAACACAAAAATTGAAGGGCGAATGCTAAAGGTGTGAGAGGAGAGCATAAATGATGATAGTCCTAGCGATTAAAACCATAAAACTTTAAGAAGGCCGGAAGATTGAAGATCATTCGATGTATGTTAAGGTGTTAAATCTGAAGCCAATTGTTTTGGCTTGCCTTTGTTTCCAATTATTCTCCAACGTGACGTCAACCTCATCCAGAGGTTTTTCCTTGTCTCTAATGGTTAATAAAAAGAAAATAAAATTCAAATCCTTACAGGATAAGAACAGGAAGTGTAGGATCCTTACAGGACCTTGCCAAGAGCACTTGAATTTCCTGGACGATTGAACATACTCTGAGATCATGTTCTTCTCTGTTACAAAGCGTCCCACAAAATTCACACCCTTTCAGGGCAAGCAATTTCACACGGCCCTTTCAGGGCTTTTGGAGGTCACTTGGGGCTCAAGCGACCGGTCCAGAACTTACAAGTGCAGTTTTGCAGACCCTTTCAGGGCTCGTCAATCAAGTTTCTCCAAAATGGCCCTTTTAGGGCTCGCCGACTTCAAGTTTCTCTTCTTGATATTTTTTTCTTTCATTACTTTTCCCATATTTTACCCACCATTTTCTAAGAACAATATATCTTTTAACACCTCTGAAACAAAAAGTTGTCAAAGTTAAATACCACTTTAAAAACACAGTCATTTTATATCAATGAAAATGGAATTCAAGAATCGACAGTTTACACATCAGTCAACGTAAGCATTAAATGCAGTTAGCTATAAAAAGAGCGCAGAGTATGATTTTTATTCATTTTAAAATTAGATATCAAATAATGAAAGTATTTATAAGTGTAATGAGTGTTTTGATGTGAAATCAGAACCATGACCACAAGTTTAAAAAGATTCAACAAGAAAATATTTAATTAGGTGCTTATTTCTTTAACTTCAAAATGTAATCAGAGAATTTTTAATCAAATTTAGCTCTAGGTACTTTTGAACTCTCTGATTTAGGAGGCATAATTTAACACATCTTTCAATTATTTCACTAAGACAAGGAAAAATGAACAACAAATTCAAAACTAAATATCTCTCCTGACAGCATTTTACTATTTTTTATCATTAATTTTTGTTGTTTCGAATCAAATGTTCATTTCCTTGGAGCAAATATAAGGCTGAGTATCATATTCTGAAGTTTAATTAGCAGCACTGTTCTCTTTTTTTTTTTGTTTGGTGGATACTTAGCATCTGTGTGTGTATCAGAGGATATTTATGACAATGAATTGATAGGTAATGAGTGACCACCTTTTCAAATGAAGGACCTACAAAAAAAGCGTAATGTATGTGTTTCTATGCAACATCAACGCAGGAAAGACACTGTTCGAGGGTTGAAATAAGCTTAAATCTTTCGAACAGTAAGAATCCTTCAGGGCCTTACAAGGTCATTTGCTGTGCTGTGTGCACATCGCACACTTCAGTTGTTGCTCTGAAATTGAATGATACGGCTGGTTGTAAATAATTTACCTGTACAGTACAGAATCATATCAACTTCCACCTCTGTACCATCGGAGAATTCAACACTGTTTTTCTTGACACACTTAATGTCTGGTTTTTGAGTCACATTGTCAGGAAATCTGATGTGTTTAACTTTTTCGGAGTGGTGGCTGATGTAAACCTGAAAAATGAATTCAAAATTTTCTGTTTAAACTCTGGTACTAACGGTACCTACCCGTAGCAATTTTACCGTCTAAAGAAATAAAATCTGTAGCCCTTTAATCATATTAGTTTCTTATCGTTTATGGAATTTTTTAGTGGCACCACTTGTAAAATTAACATTTCTGTGCAGCAATAAAAAATCAAGTATTTTATTTGCACCTTTTTAAAATAGCTGCTTCGTTCTGTTGGAGGAAAGTAATCAATATTCAATCCAGTAAAACCAATTCTACAGAAATTTTTTTGCAAAAATGTAAAAATGATCGAAAATTCCAAAAAACTTCATAAGATCAACATTTGTCGGAAGGTGCTACATAAACATCATAATTATTCCGTCTATTTCTCCTTTATGCACGAGGTCTGAAAGTGAATGCACTTTCAGAAAACTAATTAACATGTGAATCAGCGTGCTTGGTACAAGAGTAACTTACCTGTTTTGCAACCTTAGAAATGTCGAATGTGATGTCAAGACCAGAGGGACCGCAGCCTACAGTAACAGCTCTCTTATCCTTGAAGATATCAGCTTTTCTGTAGTCGTGACTGTGAAGTATTTTCCCTTCGAATTGATCTACTCCCAGGTGATTTGGTATCAGAGGGTTACTGTAATTTCTGGAAACATGAAACAGTTTTCTTCAGCAAATACGAGTCATAGATTGTGAAAATTAGAATGTATCTTGACAGCGACATTTCACAATCTCGGCTGTTTACTTTTGAAGAACGTAATCATCGGAAATCCTCTCAAAATATATTTTATTAAGCAGAGGAATATCAGTAGAAATTCCAAGAACCCGTGTTTTTTCCTCTTAAAAGTCTGCAACACCACAATTTTGAAAATACAATTTTCACCACTGTCATGAGGGTATCATACCGAAAGTGACAGTCGTATATCTGGTATTTTCATTTATTCCTTAATCAAGCTGAAAATCTGAATTCTCCGTCAAGTACACTTCCTGAATTATGTTCTCCAAAGACATCGATGGCCATCGCAGCTAAATGTCTCTAAACTAAAATGACAACTGAGAGAAAAAAACACTAAAAAGTGGCCCGAACTGTACGTAACAAGATGGAGAAATGGTGCTGGGTCCGCACCATTTCGCGGGGAAATCAAAAGCTGGCTGTAGAATGCGGAGAAAATCATACGGCCGGGCTGTACGAAGCGATAAAAAATTATGCAGCCGGGCTATAGTTCCTATCGCCGGGCTTTACACTTTATCGCCTGGCTGTTGCTTTTTCGCCATCGATTATAAAAGGCTATAAGAAATTGTGTAGAAATTGGTGTGCTTTGGAAATCATTAAGTTTGATACGGAACCACCTTAATATTCACAAAACACACGTTATATTTTCCTTTAATACATATTTTTTTTCATCAATTATTAAAACGAGAACAATCCATACAGGATGTGCAAACATTTCACGCTGACTCCGCCAGATTAAATATTAGAGCCTAACACAAAGCGGAGCGGCGACGCACTGGCGCCTACAAACCTAACAGGGATACTTCACGCATTGCGCAACGCGTGAAGTATCCCTGTTAGGTTTGTAGGCGCCAATGCGCGGTCCGCGCTGGCTGCCCGCCTGCCGCGCCGCAGCGCGCCACGGCGCTTGAAGCAACTATTTCACACCAGAGGTATTGCACGGTATCATACGAAACTGAAGGCGCTCTAATATATTAGGAATGACAGGCATCCATCAAAACATGTACGGAGCTTTCCTCGCAAAATAAATAAAAATACTACGGCCCAAAAAGAAAGCAGTGGTCCAAAAACTCACTAAGTCCTAGCATCCGTAATTAGTGACGTTCAGCATACACTTTATCGCCTGGTTGTGAGTGTGAGTTGCCTAATCGCCATCGGCTATAAAAGGCTATAAGAAATTGTGTAGCCGGCTATAGAAGCTATTGGAAATCTTACAGCCGGCCGGAGGTCTATGGTATTGTGGAACCCAGATTCTACTGCCAATTTTTACCAGGGTGAAGTACCTACTTAACAGTAGAAAACTCTCTCAGCGTGACTCCAACTTAATATTCCAATGCAAACTGCCTGAGCTGAACGCCCCCCCCCCCGCGGTTTTGTACTGGTACTCATATGTATAGAGTTAAAAAAATGTATTTTTGACTCTAATTATAATTTTTGGAACTTTTTGGCTTTGATTTCCCTACGAAATGGTGTGACCCAGCGCCATTTCTCCACCTTGCTAAAATGACTAAGTAACTGTCATACCCTGGGTAATTATTTTGCAGATTTCTTGAAGGTTCCAAAACGCCTTCATTTTTTCGAGTATGCAACACGGACATCCGCAGAGTACGAATAATTGCATCAAGGCGTTTTGAATATCCCGTCGCGTCGGTTTCAATTTTGTGTTTTTAGATGCAGCTTTGTAGCCATTCTCACGGAACGTGTACTGTCGTAGATTTTATCGATGGTCTAAATGCGAAACCACGTATCTCCGTTGCACACTTTCAGTCATACTTAATTGTTTCTTTGGAAAACTAGTCAACGTAATTCAATGAAAACTTTCTTGATTCACACTCTGTCAGAAGAAAATTCGATTTAAATTACAAACTTTGAGGTTGGCTGGTTTCTCCTCGAAAAAACAGAAAAAGAGCGGAAATTTCGAAACACCGTAATGGAGATACGCGGTTTAGAGCTTCAGCTATCAATACGTTCAAAATAAAACCAAAGACTTTAGCGTGGAGCCCTCCGATGCGAAAGAATTGGAGGAAGAGAATAGAAGGTGCAGCTGACCCTAAAATCTTTTTTTCTGCATAAATCCCAAGTAGCACAGTGCAACGAAAATATTGAAATTAAATTGCAATTTGATTTTAATAAAATTTTAATTTTTTTACCATTGAATTACAATATTTTTACACCATTTTAGTCAATTTATGCCGATTTTAAACAATCAACAAAATCAGCTCCTTGTGTCAAAAAGATAGTCATTATATGCATAATGCAATGGAAAATTTCAACTTATTTCAATTTTATTGCAATAGGTTTCACTTTGTAAATAGAGCCCCTTCAAATAGGAGCTAGGCAACATTCACAACACTAAGTGGAATTGCAATATTTTTACAGTGAAATTGCTACTTATTGCAATCCGTGCTACTTGTGAGACGAATTTTAAAAACTGTCGGAGTTGAGTTATTTTAGAACTGAATGATTCAATTTTAATACAATTATTTTCTTACCCAACACAGACTATGACTCCGTCGAAGTATTCTGTGCGCTCGACTTTGGTCGCGAGATCCACAACCTTGACAACCCATTTTTCATCGTCAAGTACATCCACACTTTTGACATGGTGGTGAAACTGTGAATAGAAAATATTTATCCAATTTCAATGACTGTAACTCCGTGCGTGTATTGCAAGCCATCTGGCACCGTGTACCTAATGTTGATCCCATTATTTTAAAGAGAGTCACCTAATTTCTTTAATTTTTTTCTTTTCAAAACGCGTTGCAAATAAGGAGGGTGGCGTAATAAAAAGGTGGAAAGCACATGTATTTTACTACACAATAACTTGGCTTTTGTTTTGTCTTGACACCCATAAAGTCACAAATTTGAAAATCGAAAATGAACTGAAACACCAGTTGATGTAGAACATTAAATAGTAAAATTATCAATAACCACAGAGCCCCTGTAAAGTAACAATTCAAGTACTGGTGTACCTGAAAATTCCGATTTTTCCTCTTACTTTTTTTATGTTTAAAAGTGCGTAAGTTACAATTGCAAATATCACTTCCGCGAAAGAATTGATTTTATAGGTAATGACTCTTATTCGAGACTGATCATCTGAAAATACCATCCGAAAGTCATTTTCAGCTTCGAAATGATTAAAATTCTTTCAACGATTTAGGAAAGTAAGTCTTAACTCTGTAAATACTGTCCAATCCCCTCCGTAAAACGCATAAAAGTCAAGAAATCAAACCTTAACGTATTTCTTCAGTCCGAAGTGTTCTGCATAATCATTCAGATAATTTAAAACAAGATTCGCCGGGATATACGATTGCTCTGCTGGTCCGCCGTGAGGAAAACCGGGTAGTTCCATGATTTCTTTGGGTAAGTTTGTTCTAAAACAAAGAAGATAGTTTGAAAAATTAGATCATTAATAACATCAAATTTTGGATAAAATGTCGTAAATGCAACCCCAAACCCACCTTGAAAAATATTTTCGGCATCTTAGGATACCTACCGAGATTTTGAGACTGATGCCTCGCTATTTTTGATGTCGCCATCATGGTGAGGGTGAGGCGGTGAGCGTCTAGATAGTCAAAACGCCTTCACTCTCGCGTGTATGCAACACGGACATCCACGGAGCCCGAATAGTTGCATGCGGGAATGCGGGCGTTTTAATGAAAGTCGTTTAGTATCTCATTCGACACTAACTGAGGCTTGGACTGTTTCTCTTTCATCTCAAATTAATTCCAGCGTTGTTTCTTGTGCTGACAAAATAAACTATTGCTGATTTTCATCGCGGCATCGTCAATTTTTCGAGAAATTCATGATTTAAATGTATTAAAATGTTGCCGGTTCTCGAAATTGTAAAGAAAGTCAGGTGTCCGAGCATGATTTCAAGTTCCTTCTAACCTACTTCAACAAGTCCTCCGTTTTTTGGATTTTTTTTTTGCTTTTTTTCTTTTTTTCTTTTGGGATAAGTAATATCTTTGTATTTAGGTGCGACATTTTCAAAGAACAATCTTGATCAATCGCACGAAGTGCAACGGAAACTATCCGACAATAAAGCCTGATACTTTAATACCTATGTTAGTGAAAATTATATTTTGTTCTGCTATTTTCCTCCTATGAAACACGTGGGCTGCGTCCAAAGGCAAGGCGTGAATAATCGTCTTTCAATATTTTCCCATATAAATCGAAAGAATCGGTTATTAAGGTGTTCGTTGCGAACACCCCGATAATCGATCCTTTTCCACGGGTTTAAATTGCAGAGCAATCGATTCGCAGAAGTCCGATGTGCCTTTTCTGGCTACAACCCTGCTTTTACTGACCGAATAACGACGAATGTGGATTAGTTGTTCCTTGGGCACTTCGGGGGGGAAAATGCTCACAGTCAAAGCGCCTTCTCTCCCGTGCGTATGCAACACGGACATCCATGGAGCCCGAAGAGTTGCATCCATATTTAGTGATGAAATGCGCTTCATGTACCTATGTCGCATGAGACACTCACTGAAGCTTTATAACTGTTACTGTTACACCGTGACTTGGACCGCGTTAAACAGAAAGGAACCAAGCCACATATGAGCTATTGCCAAATTCAATTGGGCAATTTAATTTTTTACACGAAAACGGTTCTGCGAATTTTCGAACCAATTTCAGTGAATTTGCTCCGCAGTGCAAAGCAAATTCCTTAAACTTTTCAACGGAATCCATAAAAACGTTCTCTCGTAAAAAAATTAAATTTCCCAGTTAAAGTTGGGAATAGATGATGTGGCTTGGTTCCTTTCTGTTAAACGAGGTCCACTTAATGCCCGTGTTGCCTAGTGTGCCGATGAAGTAAATCTATGTTGATATTTATCGTGACATTGTCGATTCTCCGAAAAATTAATTATTCAAATGTATGTGTCGCATTCGATGGGCGCTCTGGATGTCATCATTTACTAGGCTACAAATTATCAAAACATGAGCAGCTAGATCGTTCGACTTGCCGATTTTCAAAAGAATGCTCAACGAAATAACTAGTTAGGGTTACATCATAATATACCCACAATCTTCGCAGGTTTTTTTTTAAGTCCCCTGGGTGGCGCCTCACCTGACCTCGCCGAGGCAAAAGTACCTGCACCCCCCCCCTCTCCGTTACAGTGAACACACCCGCCGAGTTAAAGATAAGTCGATAAATCAGGCATGTAGGAAGAGTCACCGAAGATATCGTGGCTAGCTGGAAAGGCCTCCGTTATCAGACGGCCGGCGCGTGATCAGTAAGATCTCGAAACTGCACGCACAAAGGTCAAGTCGAAAAAAAGCAATTAAAGTTCCCTACATTGTTCAAAAAAATAAATAAATGCAAATTCCGGCTGCCCAAACTGTTACGTGGAGGGCGTGGTGAGGTTTACTCGTCTACTTGCCGTTGTTGTCGAGTTATTTTCGTGGGCAAACTTTTTCTGTTCATGAAGATTTTTTTTCTCTCAATTTTGTGGAAAACTAAGTAGACAGTGTTTTTGAACTAATTTTCAGAGAGAACCTACCACGAAAAAGCTGAAAGTTAGCTCAAATGCGATTTTCGGATATCCCGTGGATCTATGTCACCAAGAATTTTCGTAAGCAATTTTGAAGAAAAAAAATCTACGACCATTCTTTAGTAAATGAACAGATTACCAAATGACATCATGTAGCGTTTCCGAATGGATAACTATTCGAGTAAATAACCGGTAGGTTTGTGGCCTATGCGTCAAAATTGAAGGCGAACTTCAGGTTTACTCCCAAGAAGGTTTCTAAAATGTTCCTTCAAATCTGATCGCTCACAAGAATAGGATTTTAGTCCACAAAACGCAAAATTTTGTTCTTCATACCAAAGCCTAAAATAATGTTAGACAAATATATTGGGACATAACCGTCGAGAAAAGTTCGACAAAACTGGATTTACGGTGGTTTGAAGTTTGCAGGTCCAAAAACGAGAAAGAAATATTTAACATTATATCCACGCCATGTTCAAGAGTCGAGCTTGCCGGTATTTTTTTGATTTGTTTTTTTTTTTTTAACTTTGCGACTTTTAATTACCCAAAAGGTACCTACACCGCTTGCTATTTACTAGAATACTACTGAGAGTTTGTCGTGGTAAACTCCAAACCCAATTTATCGATCCAACTCGACAAAAATCGCTGAGCTAGAAATTTTGCAAACGTAAAACTAATCTAAAACAGTCAACTATTCCATGGGTAATTTGTTTGAAAAAATCGACTCTTGTCGATCGAAAGTTGAGGATCAATTTAGATAGTGAGGAAAAGTCGAGGAAAATTCCGAAAAGGGCTTTATTGTCAGAAGTCCATTGCCTACGTTTTGAACTACGAATTAAATTAGTAACAATTATGAATCGTCGCTGAATTATTCGTGAACAGAGCCACTTAGTTCTTGGAATATTTTCCTAATCAAGGAAAACTTCGGAAATTACTAATACATTGTGGAATCCAGAACAATCCTAAATCAGCAAGCAAGTCAATTTTACGGAGGAAAAAACTGAAAAAGTCTGAGCAAACTGGCAGTATTGTATTTTACGACGGTACACGACGTGGCGCCTTTTCAATCAGACTGACTGTATCTCATGCATTTAATTGCAGCCGAACAATGTTGGTCCAGGGATCGTAAAAATATGTGCGTCACTCAGGCAAGAGTCTCGCCACGGAACGGTCACCTGGTCACCGTACAATTTTTGTTGCCAAGTCCGGGAGTTCCTCAAAGAACAATGTAGGCACCAATAGGATATAAAACATGGGGCTTATAGCTCCGGATTTGCATAAATCCGTTCACAACAAATAAAATATACCTAAGTATATCCGATTAGGAATTACCCATGCAAAAATTACTATCCGAACAGCAACGGTGGAGCGTGATAGATCGATTATCGATTTCTCCCAATTTGAGGTCATGGTAAAGAATCGATTATCAAGGTGTTCGCTGCGAACGCCCTGCTTATCGATCCTTTTCCATAGGTTTAAATGGCAGATCAATCGATATAGCGCCAAGCGCGCCACGCCACTGCCGAGCAGTCCCTGCAAATGAAATGAATGCACCCACGGGCAAAGTGCGAAACCACATATCTCCGTTTGCGACGTTACAGATTTCTTGTCATACTTTAATTTTTTCTTGGGAAGCCTTTTTACTTTCTTGGAAACTTCCTTCATTTTTCTTCTCGGTGAGCAGAATATTCCGTATAAATTTCAAGTTATAAAGTTGAATTGTCCCTCTTCAAAGAAATAAAATAGGAGCGAATCTTTTGAAACACCGCAGTGTAGATACGGGGTTTCGCATTGTAGCCATCGACCTGAGATCTACGACCGGGAAATCTCAGGTCTACCTGAGAGACTTCATCCGGAAAACCCAGGAAAATGCATTTTCACGCAACTTAACTTCGTAAGTGAAAATTAACGTAGGCTTTTCCTGACGAACAGTCCAAACAAAGATGAGCCCCTTCCATTATATTAGATAGGCAACAAACAACGCTCCGATGCAGTAGCAATAATTTTACTACGTTCTGTTTTACTTAACTGTAAGTGAACCGCGTGGAGCAGAAAGGAACCAAGCTACATCAGCGATTGCAGAATTTAACTGGGCAATCCAATTTGTACATGAAAACGGTTGTGCGGATTTTTGTGCTTTCAGCGATTGTCTGCATAGCACGAAGCAGATTCCTAAAAATTCTCAAAGGAGTCCGCACAAACGTTTTCTTGTAAAAAAATTAATTGCCCAATAAAATTTGGCAATAGCTGGTGTGGCTTGGTGCCTCTCTGCTAAACGCCGCGCCGTCCAATTAGTTGCAATCTGTTGATGCTCGTGACGTTGGTACTACGTTGACGTCAACAATGGTACCCTCCCTCACTCACCAACATGGTCCTTTTTAGCAGGGAACCGTACTTAGGCAGACCTTGCGCGACGTCATATTAATTTGATTACATTTTACAATGAGGAATCACTATTTCTGGCCTATTTTAGAAACAACATACACGCCATTGGTTTCCCTATGCAGGTACGTGGTTTTGTGGGAGAGCCAGAGATAGTGGCTCCCTATTGCAGAATGTAATCCAATTATCATCGATGTGATACAGAGGTCTCTTTATCGCGAAAACGTGTCCAGATTTGAGTTTACAGAGTAGTGTAATTGGCAAGGGTGAATGTCTAAGATGGCACTTGGAGGCACGTGTTTCTGCACACCGACACCGACGGGAACAAATCTCGGTACAGGTACCTAATAATCAGCCGAGTCTGCTGACTGGGTAATCTGAAATATTTCACATAAATCCATGCGGGCATCATTAGCGATCACTGACCAAGGTTGAGCGGTTTTTTAACAGCCAAGAACCACCGCGTGATCGGCTCGGGTCTTCGGAATCACTTTCGTCAGCTCGATTCAGATACCGAAACTACGTTGTACCAATTCGGTCTTTTACCCGGGGGCAAAATATTATTTTTTCAATAACCCGCGCGCAAAAGGGAATAAAAATTCCTCTGGGCCTCCCGAATCCTCACCGGAGAGACGGGTCTGAGCCAGTGGCGTGTGGCGTGCTTTGCGATGTATCGATTCATCTGCCATTTAAACCCATGGAAAAGGATTGATACACAGGGTGTTCGCAACCAACACCTTGATAATCCATTCTTCACCATAATAAATATCGATATATCGAAATATCGATGGTCGATCGCTCAACTTACGCCACTGGTCTGAGCCTTGAAGGAGGAAAAATCTAAATTTAGTTGGATGTAGTATCCGATTATTTATTTATTTCTGGGGTAAACTGAATTTTGCGGGACCGTCTGGAGTGGCTTGGCGAGAGAGCCCGGGTGTCAGCTTATGGAAATTTTGGTGCTCAGTTTTTTTTTTTTTTTTTTTTTTTTTTTTTTTTTTTTAATATTCAAATGAAGATTATAAAAAAGGTGAAATGGTATTAGTTCCTTTTCGTAGAATATCAAACGGATTCTTTCAGGAATAATCTGACAGCGGACGAGGCGAACAATATGACAATATGATAAAGTGCAAAAAGGGGCAAATGAACGATTAAAAATAAAAAATAAGAAAAAAATAATAAATTAAACTCTTTCATGTTATCGAGTTCTCTTAGTATGTGTTTTTTCTTTTAAGCTGCTTATTTTCTTTTTACTTTCCTTAACTTTTTTTGTATTTTTCTCTCCCTTTCTTCCCAAATGTTTCCTCCTATACTCTATCCCTCACCCCGTCCCTTTCTCTCTTCCTTCCGTCCCTCTTTTCCCTCTGTGTATCTGTGATTTTTATCCTCTAAATGTCACGATAGAGCTAACTAATTAGCTTTTTTCTCTCTTTTTTTCTGGCTAAGAATTGAACTTGTATTGTCTATCCAGTGAGAAATACAATACAATACATACATACAGGTGCACGGGGACGATACATTGAAGTGAAACTCCCTGTTTCTGGTGAACAGCGCCTTAATTGTCATGGACAAGAAAATTAAGATCTTCACAAGTCTTGTCTGAGTTTTTCCTTAAAACCGAGAGGGTAACTGATATTTTTAGAACGCTATTATTGTGATCCATGATCAACCTTACAAGAAAATTGTCAGATCCAATCCGATCAGCTTTAGCCATGTTACATTTTGATGCTTTCGCTCTATTCCAGAACTTTATAAGACAGAATAAATTAGGTATATAGATGATAGCTTCTTATCAATTCAGACCTCAGATCATCTCATTTTTATTTTATTTTTTATTTGTTGTTCGTATGAGCTGATACGCGCTTTATCAGCGGAAGTTATTTGATCACCTGATCGTATAACAAAGTAAACTGAAAAAAAATTATCTCGCTTACAGAGACAGTTTGCCGGCGTCTAAAATAAAAAGAGAGAAAATAATCCGCGGAAAATATAGTGCTGCGTTTTTTTTTTTTTTTTTTTTTTTTTTTTTTTTTTTGTATGTATTGATTTCATGGCATTTGTAAAAAGTGAAAAAGAGCATTCGATAGTTTTGAAATCACACCATCAGGGCGAATTCTATCGCGCAATCTTACAACCTTGATAGAAAGTTGCGAATTAACATTTTAGGTAGGTCTCTTTATATCGATACTGGAAGTGGATTCATCAGCTTTTCTGTTATCTAAAAGAGGTATCGCATTTTCATCCAATCAGAGGCTTTTCTTTTCTCCCTTTCTCTTCCGACGAGGTCAACATAATGCTGATAACACGCAATTTATCGTAATTTGATGTAATTGTACGGAAGTTATCGAAAAGCCTAGAAAACTGCATCTATATACTTTTAAAATTATTCGTTCCTCAAAAGACATGATGGTATCATGCGGAACAAACACCGGGTTTTCTTCAATGCCACGTTGAGCCTAGTCAAGAATGACATAACTCATTACTTCATCCTGGAAAGTATCGTAACTCCTCATTCGTTTGGTGATGTTTTCGATATCTGTGTATGAATACGCGTGTGATATCAATAACATATTTTGTGGGACGAGAAATGATAAAACTTGTTATTCGAGGAGAAATAATTGTTCTCTTCGCTGCACCATAAAAATTGCTTGCGATTAACGCTGCAGTGAATCGATGAATAAAGTCTGCATTGAAAAAAAGTCTCTTGGATTTAGAATCCAGACCCTTAAAGATGTTGAGATGAAATAATTAAATCGGATTTTTGCTTGAATCGAGGGACGAGTAAATGAAATGAGCCACCGGACGAAGTATGATTTAAAGCACCTCATTGCTCGACTCATACTGAAAATTTTAGGGGAAAAACGAAACATACCATGAATAGTTTGAAAAGCAAGTGTACACATGTAAAGATAACACCGATCAAATGCATCGCACCGATCACATAAATTGTCATTTGTGTTTTTGGCATTCAATTAATGGCTAAATCAACACTTACATCATTCTTTCTAAGTTTATTCCAAATCCTCCAGTCGTGCGCATTATTTCCTATGAAACATTTCTCACGGAAAAGAGTAAAAGAGTGCAAGAGCTGTACTCTTTGCAATATTCCGTTACACATCAGCGGCTCTGCTAATAAATCGGGCCCTAAACTGTCGAATCTGACCCCGTGACCTTAAGATCGACGATAAGCAATTAACACCGACAAAGAGGAATCTGCCTCTTACCCGAATGTCTTATTAGGTCGCGATAAATTTCGATTACACGGTAAAATTAGTGCTAAGCTACTACATCGAAGTGTTGTGCATGTTGCTTATCAAGTAATTGAAGGGGCTCCACTCATTGATTTCTTGCAGTGCATATGTAAGCCGTAATTTTTCTTTGTACTGCAAAATTCTCAGAAGAAATGTTTCATAGGAAATGATTCACATGACTGGAGGTTTTAGACATAAACTCAGAAAGAAGAATGCAAGTGTTGATTCTGCTATCTACATGCAGCTCATTTTATTCTACATTTAAAAACAAAATTTGTTGGCCAAATGATGTAAACTTATCGTCATGTCAAAATCACCACTCGTGTCCAAAAAACTCCAATTTTTTGCATTAATTGCAATTTTATTTAAATAAATACTCCCGTCGCCTCATGCACCTTGGGCGGCAATAACAGGTGGAAAATATTACTTCCAGGGATTCAACATTTATTTCTTCTGGACAATAATAAGACAGAAGCAATTCCTTCTACCCCTATTTATTACCTTTTTGTTGCCGATAGACTACCTCATTATTGACTGATGAACTTCGGATGATATATAAATGCGCCACACGAGTTTACTTCGGTAAACATCAGCTTATTTGTCATATTTTTTCAACGAATTGCTCTACATGTCGCTCAGCACTCAACAACACTACCTTGCTGAGGAAAAATATATTTTTCCTCCAATTCCATATTTCCTTCAATAAAAACCGACTTTGCTGGGAAAATTCTGAAAATTTTTCCTCCAATTTTTCAGACAATTTTGTTCACAATGTTATCTAAAATATTTGAAAATTTCTAGGAAAAATGTACATGACTTTCCTCTAAAATATAGATTTCATCGAAGGAAATTTCGTAACTCTAGAATGTTTATGCGGCGTTTTTCCTAGCACGTCAGAATAAGGTAGGTCAACAGTTGAACATTGAGTTTCAAAAGTAAAAGCTTCCATCATTATCGCCGAAAGACCAGCGGGTCGATTGTTAAAATTGATAGACAAAGCTATAGACAAAGAAGACAAAAGAGGCATGGAGGAATCCTATCTGTGGAAGCGGGTGGTTGAAATCGACAAAGGAGGGAGGTAAGGGGGTAGGTAATAGACTAACAGACTAACGTCAACTCACGAGAGACCCTTTAATTAGTCCATCATTTACCCCCTTAGTCTGTAAGAACCACCCAAATTAACCAATAGGATCGCTCCATACTCATTATGTCCTCTTTGTCTATAGCTTTGTCTATCAATGTCAACAATCGGTCCGCAGTAAAGGGTCTCTCTTTGTCTAAGGCAATAATACGCGCAGATAATGGAACCGTAAGAGGCCGTCATGGAAGACCCCTTGGCAATTTTTGCCTCTGATCCTCAAATCACAACAGATTTTTGATGTGGGTCAAAGGAAAGTTCCTTTGGCGAGAGGTTGGAGGGCACGAGGTCAGGGGGTGGCAACGAAATTAACGGTGGAGCATACTGCATAACTTACTTGAGACTTTGGTACATGCTGGAGTGGACAGGGAGCCCGTATTTATCTCTGCCAACGGTGTCCGTGTAAACCCAGGTACCTCCGATGTTGTCAGTCTGTTCGTAGGTGACGCATGTGAAACCACTGCCAGGCGCCGTTAGATGTTTCGTGGCCGTAAGTCCGGCTGCACCACTGCCGATCACCGCAACACGCTTCATGGCTCCTGCAACACACAATCATAAAATATTCGTTGAAAAAGAGCTAAATATTGGATCCACAGTCCATCCGTTCAAAGGTGAAATCATCAGCTAAAGTTTAAGCTCACTGAAAAAAAAAAAAAAAAAAAAAAAAAAAAAAAACAACAACAACAACAACATTGGATCTAGAGTCCAGACTCTTAAAACATTGACAAGAAAAAAATACTCTTGATTCAATCGGATTTTTGCTTGAATCAAAACGAAATCCGCTTAAATTAAGAGGCTTGGTTCTCGATTTAAGCTAGATTCTGATTGAATCAAGAGTACTTTTTCTTGACGATGTTCTTAAGAGTCTGGACTCTAGATCCAATGTGGTTTTTTTTCCAGTGCTTTTTTCGGAAAAAAGGTTTGGTTAGTCGTGGCTGGAAAGCTCAGCTTCTGCGACCGATGACTCTGCTCACCTAACCGAGGAACTTCGGTGTTCAGTATGGAACGAACTCTTTTCTTCATGTAGACTCTTTTGAAGCCACGCGGACTCGGAGACTTTAACGAAGGAGTAGAAAAGTAGCACCACTCGTGCGAAGCCATACACGCATGACAAACCGAACTACTTTTTTAAATTTAAATTTTGTCAAGATCCAGTCGTACAAACGAGCTAAGAACTTCAAATTAGAATGAAAAGAGAGGCATAAAATATCTGGCATCGTGATTTTTTCTGAGTTCGGTCGCCCGCTCTGCAGTCACTAGCGTTGTATATCTTTGCATGTCCTATCGGTCTTTATTCATCCACCTACATGAGTGCGGGATCTATTGAAGTGCACAAAAAATGAGCAAGTTGCTGACATCCCATCTTAGTATTTTTAGTTATTTTACTATTATAGTGTATCGACGGTGTAAGTCGGCAATCACATAACTCGTTTGCGGTGTCTGAAAACCTCCGTCTCCATGTTAAATTTTTAAGGAGAACAAATTGACATTACTCTTTGAAGTTTATATAGAATTTTCTTCGCACAGAGAAGAAAAATCACAACAGTTTTAAAGAATTGTGACAGTTAAAATTGGAACGGGAGACCAGGAGACTCGATGGAACCGGTCTTTAATGCGCCATCTTTAAATTCTGAAGAGAGCTAAAAAATTGGGATAGTATAAAATTTAACAATTTCTTAAAACCCCTAAAGGAGAAAATTTTGCAAGTACACAATGATATTTTCATCTCACCCCTCGCAAATTAATTACCTAAAGCAAAACAAAGAAACCCGAATTGAAATACTTACTTAAAATTTAAAGTAATAAAGTAGGTTCAAGGGAGCAAAAAATCCTGTAACTGAGGTAGCGTTAGAGACACAACGCCAAAACCGGTCGAACGAATTCGGATACTGGTCGATTCACACTAATCTTGTCTGAGATTCTTGAACACTGATCATTCCAAAGGTTCCCGCCGCGATCTCCTATTTAAATGGCGCGTGCCCCCTCCCCTCCCTCCAGACTCCCCCACCATCCTCCCGTCCCGGATCGCTGATAAGAAAATCGCAGTAGCGTGGAGTGGCGTGAATTATCGATTATCGATATTTCCCCATTTGAAGCCATGGCAAAGAATCGATCATCAAGGTGTTCGTTGCGAACACCCTGTTTATCGATGTTTTTCTATAGGTTCCAATGGCAGATCAGTCGATATATCGCAAAGCACTGGAAAACAGGAGGGCGCGGACTCGGTAGGCAAAACAACCAACACCGAGGATTCCGTCAGCTGAGCGCATGAAATCATGAAAACTTGAGTCGTGTATTGCGTCAGAATATGTTTTCTCGGTCATTGGTTTGTTTTTTATGATTTCCATCAGGTGCGGCCTCTGACGTAGCCAAGAGCCCTGACCTTAACGCCACCGGACGGAACGTCTAGCTTTGCCAAAAGCAGTTGAAAGAAATGTCGCCAATGTAATATAATTAACAACATACTATTCCTTTGTTTGTTATGGTAGTGTTTAGTGGATGAATAAAATGATATGCCAGTAACTTTATTAAATTTGGATCATCAAGATTTATGTTTTCAATATCTTACTTAATTCCATTTATATTGTATTAAAATTTTAAAGTAATAAGGAATTATGTGTATTATAGAAGTATTTTTATTCTTTGAGTTGAAACTTCTAATTTTTATATTTGATTTTTTAAAAATCCTGTGAGTCGCGATATAGAATATAATCCTATACAGTGAGCTTGAAAATATAAATATTGACCCAAGTTGCATTTTTCAACGGAAAAATCGTGATGTTTCGAAATTGAGTTGCAATTTTTGTACGACTTTTTGGCGATAAAATCCCCAGGATAATCAAAATCTGAGTGACTATCCTCGATTTGACGCAATTTTATCTCTATTTATAACGACTTTTTGTTTGATAAAATTGCGAAGAATGATGAAGCCAGAATACCAATGCTGGGCGCCCCAGCTTGGATTCGATTTTTACTTTTAATTCTTTGAAATTCTAGATGTATGGTTTTTTCCCTCCGTACCTATCCACTTAGCGGTCTGTCTTCGTTAAGAAGTTTGCTTGTGCTTTCATTCCTGGGTACGGGTTAAATTGTTTGTCGACCCGTCCCATAACTTCGCTTTTAGCGAAATGCACTGTTGTCAGTGTGTATACTTGGATGATCTACAATCTACAACGCTGGTGGTTTATAAGTAATTAACCAGATTTGTCGTGAACTTGACATCGTCAGCTCGTGGAACACCTTAGAAAACTGCCATGACCTGTCGATAAGATTTGGTGTGCGAACTATTTTTATCAGCGCACACCTCCACAAAGCGGCTGTTGATCTCTGATAGGCATACTGATATGAAAGTAATAGCTTCTCGCAATTTCTCAGAGCTTTGCTGAAAAAAATCTCGTCATATCCAGAAATACTCACACGAAAACTTGGTGTACTTTTCAGGACTCAAAAGTTATTTGTTTGAACTGAACATGCAACGGTCCTATTTATGAAACTTTCTGAACATGCAGTGCTCCTTATTATCAAACTTTCTGAACAAGGTATACAACTATTTCAAATCATCTTAGATATGTGACTCTCGAACTATCAGGGTGTCCACAAATCCGGAAATAGTACTGATTTTTTAAGGGCGGTCCGGAAGTCCTGAAAAAGTGCGGAAATTCCGCAAGAAGGTCCGGAATTTGTTTCATTTTTAGTCATTTTTGTCGTAATTTGAGCGAGAAAATCAAATTTTTGAAATTTTTCTTATTTCGTCAAATGGAGGTACTGAAAAAGTACTGAATTTTTCTGTTGAGGAGGTACTGAATTTCTTGGGAATGTACTGGAAAAGTATTGTAAAAGTCCTGATTCTTAGCCAGCCTGTTTTAGTAGACACCCTGAACTACTTAAATTGAAACTCAAAATACAATACTTTAAAAGCTACACCATTTAAAACATCTTAAAATGTCTTGCGGTTGATATTTTTACTATTGTTAGGTACTCCTCCAGAATCTTGAAAGAAGGGGTGAAAGTGCGTTACCACGCTAAAAATAAATACAACCACGTGCCGCTTACCTGTTCTTATATTTTTAGCCGTGTTCTTCTTATTGAGTTCTAATATTTCATTGAACGTCAACTGTGAGAAGAAAATAAAAGACTCTTTATCGCAAAAGAAGAGGAGGATGACCCAGATAAAAAGTTTAATAACACCTTTGGGCGGTAAGTAATAATTGGCTTTTACATTGTCTTGAAATCTATAGTCTTTGAACAAACAATTTATCTGTGTAGGATGGGCTGTGTGCGGACGATTTAATTCTAAACAACATAATTAGATTCATTTTCATAATGTACCGGAAAATTTTTTTACCTTTAAACCCTATTATCATAGAGTATCTCATGCGTAACCGCTTCATTTATGACATCATTCAATTTTGTTCTGGATTACTTTCAATCGAGAGCGCCTTCAATTTACAGGGACGCAAGCCCGCATACAGAAAACCGGAGACCGATTTTCACAGCAATCTCGTGAGGTAATGATTGATTTCGTAGACGGTCAACTCTATTGAGGATAAAGAAATGAGCTGTTGTCAACCTATGAGAAAAAATCCAAATTAATCTCGAGAAATGATTCAAAATAAATGAATTTCCGCATTTGCAGCGACAACTAAGTTTACTCTCATGTTGATCAATAATCTCGGAGTCATTCCACCTCTTTCTCCTTTTCTTTACATATCATAAATGACGCGTAGTAAATTGCGCAGCGCAAAGTCTTATTTGGACACCGGGAATCGAAAGAATGATATCTGCGCTAATGACACGAGCCATAGTAATGGTAGTCTTTTACGGTACAAAAAGCCCATGTTGAAAAGCAAGTTGACAAAGTCCGTCTAGCGTCGCACATTGGTTCGACAATATTTTTGTTGCATCGAAGACCGCGCATTATCAAGAAGTTGAGCTGGAAAATAAAAACGAAATCAATCGTTGTAGGGAAAAATTTCTCACTCAACTGGACGTAAACTTCCTTTTGAATGGACAAGGCGTGAGACAATTAAGTGGACCATCCCAGATAAGTTCTTTGATTTGACGTAACAGGCAAGGCGCGAGGTGCTACGTACTACTAACAATAACAGCAAACGCAGTTCGTATTGACATTACATTATTTAATCGATAACGACAAGTTTTCGCCTCAACTTAGGCCAGTCGGTTCTGTCTATCCCTACACATTGAAATATATCGACGGTGAAACTACCAAACCACGTATCTCGGTTTGCGACGTCGCAGACTTCCTGTCATACTTTATTTTTTAAATGGAAAACTACTTAACATCCAGTCTTGAAAATTTCTGTGATTTTTCCTCTTTGTGCGGAGAAAATTCCGTGAAAATTTCAAGGAATGATATTGATTTGGTCTACTTCAAAAAAATAAAATGTGAGCGTAGATTTTTAAACACCGCAAACGAGATACGTGGTTTGGTAGTTTCACCGTCGATATGTCACTATCTGCCCCGTTTCCTCAGATTCTACTGAATGGATGCTTAAAACCTTATTTTTGTTAGACAGGTCTAAATGTGTTTTTCCAATTGAGGACACCGCACCGAGAACAGCCTATAACTGGAAACCGCGTTTTGAGAAAAACGCATTTAAAGTTTTGTTTTTGATGTACTGCGCAGACTTTCCTATGCAGGTACCCTGTTTTGGTGTTTTTGGATGACCTAACCCTTCTATTGAAGGATGCCGGGTAGATTTTGCGATACATTTTGGGTTTATACTTTCATATATTTAATTTAAAATAGCGGTTTATAGGTCATTATTACTTCCAACAGTCATTTTGGTGGCAATATGAAGTATAAATCATTTTAATCACGCACGACTAATGCAAAATGAAAGAATATCGATTGTGAGTAAAGGAGGGGGTAACTGGCACCTTATAGGCCCGTTTATAGGTCGTTCTTGCACCCATCGATCCAGAGGCCTGAAACAACTCGGAAAAAAAAGGTTTTTCGACCTCGAGACGTTACCTATCTATAATCTATCGCTACCACAGCATAGTCCAGGGTACGTAGAATCCGAAAAGCAGATGCGTAATAACGACCTATACGCCAATAGGCTCTTCTTGGTGCGGTGTCCTCAATTGTAATCTTCCGTCACATTCTTACGGCGCAATGATACAACTATTTGAACTCTCCGGAATGCGTGAGGTATCACGCCGCATTTGAAGGCGTTTTCAAAACAGCCAAGTTCCGATACCCGGATTATCGTTTTGCAAAGTTCTTATTATTATGTTTTATTTCCTACCATTTGATTGTTTTCAATCCTCCTATAAAAACTACTCATTTACTGAATACACTTCTGGCTGGAGCGCATTTCAGCTGTGCATTCACCACTGCAAAAATGTCAAAGGAAATCGACAAGCCCAACGAGTATGAAGGCTAATTCAATTGTCAACTGCCGTCGCATTTCTAAGGCGCAATGATACAACTATTTGAACTCTCCGGAATGCGTGAGGTATCACGCCGCATTTGAAGGCGTTTTCATAACAGCCAAGTTTTGATATCAGGTTTGTAGTTTCGCAAGAAATTGGGGCACAAAATCAATAGAATGACTGATTATACGAGCTAATGCAACTCAATAAATTTGTGTTTTATTTGACGGAAGCGTTAGAAAACAGTTCGGTCAGAAATTTAAATCAACCTACGTTCCATTATATAGTTCATATTCTTTTGTTTTGTTCCGTACCACTTGTTTATTTTTAATCCATGTATAAAAACCACCGATTTGCTAAATACAATTCTAGCTGGAGCTTACTTCAGCTATGCATTCACCACTGCAAAAATGTTAAAGGAAATCGACAAGCTCAGCGTGTATGGAAACCGCGTTTTGAGAAAAACGGATTTAAAGTTTTGTTTTTGATGTATTGTGCAGACTGGAGCTTTTTTGAACTGGAAATGCGTATTTTTTTGAAAAATCGATTTTTCACAAATTTGGCACATTTTGGAAGAAAATTGAGGTCATTTTCGGCTTTAGCGGCAAAAATTGAGAGGGATTTGAATTACTCCACTTTTTGCCTGAGAAAAAAATTTCCGCTCGTTTCCGACGCAAAACAATGGGATGAGTTATACATGTGTTATAGGGCGAAAAGGAGTACTTGTCTGGAAAAACCTATTCGGAACAAAAAGGAATCTTAAATAGGCATGCAATACATGGTTCCCTTCTTAATATAGGCTGCTGAATCTGAATGATCTCTGTTGATCTCTGTTTTCCTCCATCATGAACAGATTTTCTGGAAAATTGAATTTTCTCCGGAAAACTCGATTTTTAGGGAAAATTCCGATTTTCCGGAGGAAATCGACCAGACCCAGCAAACCCTGGTAAAAATTGGCGATAAGAGCTGCGCTTCAAAATACTAGAGGAATTATTATAGCCGGCTAAAGAAGACTACAGAAAATCATATAGCTGGCTGTAGAATGCGGAGAAAATCATACGGCCGGGCTATACGGAGCGATAAAAAATTATGCAGTCGGGCTATAGTTCCTATCGCCGGGCTTTACACTTTATC